CTTATTTTGTATTAGTCATAACATTTGCAGCCTATTCAAGCAGTCAAAAATACGAAATTAACGCGTTACAACGATCAACAGTTTTTTTTGCTATCTATGCATTTTAACTTTGGAGAAATGTCCGATTTTTTGCGTTTTAACAGTTGATATAATTTTGACTTCAATATCGTTAAAATGAGTACAAATGCAAGTGTTTCAATGCGTTGAAAATTTTTTCAATATTGAATACTAGCTATTTTTATTACGAGCTTTTTATGAGTGCTCTCATAGTTTTCAGAAAAAAAACAACAAGAGAAAAAAAGGACTGTTACATATACATATATCTCTAAATCAGTCGACTTTTTTTAAACAAAATTTACATATTTTCTTTTTACATTTCATGTATATGTAACAGTCCTTTTTTTCTTTTGTTATTTTTTTTCTGATAACACTGTGAGAGTACTCATGGAAAGCTCGTAATAAAAAAACAAGGTAGCGCTCATCCTACGGATTCACTGACCCTTTTCTGAAAGAAAAAAGAGAAGATTTTGAGATATTTTTTATTTAAAATATTCACATTTGTCTTGTAAGAAAGAATTGAAAAGGTGATTCAACAATTGAATAATGTTTCGAGATGTTTTACTTAAATAATCGTTTGTCTCATTTAATGACAGACATTGTAACTTTAAGAATTGTTCTTTCTTCAATAATAAAATCGTGTCTTTTGACAATTAATCTTTGATTATGAATTTTTCTACAACTGAATCATGTTGACAGTCTCATTAGGTGTCCTTATTTTTCAACATATGATGCTAACAACAAAAAAAAATATTGAATGAATGTCAACTCACCCAGGTCAAATAATCTGATAATAAGATCTTATACGATTCTTACAAGAGTATATACGATCTTAATGCAAGATTTTGTATGATTGTATAAGATCGTATGAAAGTCATACAAGATCTTGTATGATTCTATATGACAATCTTAAAGCCACCGTTTCTGATTAAATCATACTGTACGATTCTTATATGATCTTATATTATTCATGCAAGGTTGAATACAGCTATCGTACGCATTGCATAACTGATTTTCTTGTAATATTCGCCGTTCTCTAATTTGGTTTTCCAACCAACTGATTTGCTTTCGCTGGTCTCTTGTTTTTAAGAAAAGCATTTGCAACTGACGTTTTATTGCCTTGCTTCCGTTTAAGACTAAATTTATTCTTAAAAAAACATACAGAATGATTACATTATTATCACATCGAAAAACACAATTAGATGAATTAGTTTTATCAAAAACAAATCAGAGTTCGCTTTGCTGATAATTTCAATATTGTCTTCAGGCAATCGATCACAATAATACAAAATAAAGTCAAATATTAAAATGAGCTTAAGTAATTACATAACTATAACTTGAAAAATGGTTGAAATCGTGTTATATTAGATAAGATTATTTTAAATTGATTGTAAATAAATAATGTGTCAAAATAATTTTATTTTTATTGGAATAGACAAATAAAGTAATTAAATAAAATTATTTTAGTGTAATTTAAATGTATATAAATAACTCTAATACAATAGTTTTATTTTAATCGAACAAAATGAATAATCACATTCAATTAATTTCTGTTAAATATAATATTAAAAAATAAGTACTAAGTTAAATTGATTTTGGAATAAAATAAAAAAAAAACAATAAATCTACTAGATTAATTTCATTTTAATTAGAATAAAATATTCACATTGAATTGCTTTCATTCTAGTACAACATAAATTAAATAATACTATGAAATAAAATTAAGAATCTAGTGTGATTAAATTGATTTCATTGTATTTTAATTAATAAATAGATAATAGTATTAGATTATTCTAATTTAACGGAAAATAAGCCAACTATTGATATTCAATGGAATTTATTTTGGTTCACATTGATTTAAAATAAATAATAAAAAAATCAACATCATTTTTTCTAATTAAAATATATCATGAAGATATTAAAAAGTTAATCAATGAAATAAAAAAACAGTAAAATAAAATCAATAGAATTTTCAATGTATAAAACAAAACTGAAATAATTTTCAAAATTTATATCTGAATATAAAACAAATTAGTCGTATTTTGAAAAAATTCGATGTACAACCTTACCCAACCAAACTAAAACGTATATAACATGATTGTAATAGTTTCCCGTGTCTTTATATGCTCGATTGTGGCCATTATCATGTTAGAAGTCCTCTATGTTGAAGAGTTATAGTGGAATAATTTTATCAAAAAATAAAAAAAGGTAATACTTAATTGTATTGCTAAACAGAAATATGGCGAACGCCTTTTTTCTATGAGCATAAATGACTAAATAAATTAGTGAGATATCTCCCTAAACCAACAATAAATTTGTTTAAATCAAATGAATACGATTAGTGATTTGATTTTCAGAGCGAAAAACACCACTCAAAGATGTATTTTCAATTCGAAAAGATGTGAGTTTTAATTAGAACACATTCAATTCTTAAATAATTGTTTAAACTTATAAACTGTATGGTTATAAAAAATATACTTGCACAAGAAAAACCTAAATTATGATCTTACAATATCATACAATATCTTATAAGATTCTGATAGTCAGATTTTGCAAGAATCTTATAGCAAGAATCATGCAAGATTTGTAATAGCATCTTACAGTAAGGTATTTGTACGATTCTGTAAGATCATGCAATATGAATCTTGCGACATCCGATTGTCGGTAAGATCTTGTAGGATCTTATACGATCTTCGTAAGAGTTTTCCACCTGGGCAGTTCTTTAAAAAATTATCAAAAAATGAATTAATTCTAAATAATGAATACCATTATTAGAGTGAAAACTGATTTAGAACTGATATTTCTCATCGAAAATGGTCGCTATTCATTTGATCCTGTCGAAGATTCTTTGCTGTTCTGAATCGTAAGTACCAGCCATTTCAAACCAATTAAATTAACTTCAGCCATCAAAAGAATCGATTGTTTTTGTCTATCTACCTTATATACCACGAAATAGCTTTGTGGTATTGCCGAGGGTTGTGCAATTTTTATTCTTAGACAGATAGAAAAGAAAAATATCATTTGATGAGAGAATCGAAACGTGCTTGCAGAACGAAAAGATATTCAACAGAGAATAGATAACGAGTACTGCTACACACTTTCTCTCGTTTTACTGGCATACCATCATTCATATTCAGAAGTGGAAGATAAAAAGGTGAGAGAACGAACAAGAATGATATCATCTTATGTGCTGGACAAAGTTAAATAATTTGCACAGTGGTACTTATATAAATTTGTGTGGCAAAAAGCACATTTCTTACCTGAAAACTCATTATCGATACATAATCACGATGATCCTGTGTAAATTTTCAAAAATAAATTATGTTCGTTATAAAAGACTTTTCAGAACCCTCACAATTTAGCATCAGAATATCCCATTTTTTCCGCGCTTTCATTTGGTACAAAATTCATTATGGTTGCTATTTGTTATCGTAGAGTTACCCTCCTGGAAAAACATTTTTACGCACCCTGTATTGTTCTCATCTTTCTATTCTTACGTTGCACGTCTCACTTGATCGTTCTTCCATATCTATCTTCGCCTTGACCTCTTCTCCTTTCCTTTCATCCTCTCTTATCCTACCCGTGTATATAAGCGTGTGCTTTATATGTAAACGATACGTTTATACGATATGAAGGAATTGAATAAAGTGTAACATCATCAGCACGAACATTCCTTCTATCATTTATCGTCACATTAATATCTTTCAAAGCAATATTCTACTTTCCGCAAATGTTCAACATAACATTTTCCCAGTTACGTTCGATCAAGAATGTGTGTGCTGTGGGTATATATCAGTCTTTATGAGTCTTATTTCAAAAACAGCTATTGAGTACCAACACCAACATCGACACGCCCATACCCACACTTCACACCCAGACACTTACCCACACCCACACTCTGAGTTACACTTGTATGCAGAGCTTTTCCCATTTCTTATGACTTTTGAGCATTTTCATCAAGGGAGATAAGTTCCATGTAGTGCACATTCGGATATGTGTTTGAAAAGTTTATCAGTCGGACCGAGTTTTCACTAAGAAAGACGCATCAAACAGCAACATACTGTACAGTTCAAGTCAGATCTAGACGATTGCTCGTTAGAGAAAAAAGAGAAAATATCAGGTGCAGATTGACAATCTTAACCCGTGTAGGACTCTAAACTTCGACTCAACGGAAGACATGGACAAATAGTGCATCGATTCCTTTGAGACCAATCATTCTAATGCTAGAATCACGAAATAGTTCGTCTTCTTCTTTGGGGCCAACTTAATCCTATTACAGCTATAAAGTCAAAAAATGTGGATAGCCGCCAAGAGCGAAGGATACTTTGTTGCTTCATTGACAACCATAGGATAAAAGTTGAGTTTCTTCTATCGTTGATAATGAATAAAAGACAAGACAAAAACAACATCTTCTCATTTGTTCGTTTTTGTCAAAGAGACCAAAGTGAGGTATGTAAGAAAGATAAGAGGCTGGTTAAACATCAAGAAGAAACCTTCTGAAAAGACTTATTATACTATTGTGAAATAATAATATTGTCGACGTTCTGACTATAGAGAGAATCCAAATATTTCCTAATCATCCCAAAGCTTCAGCTAATATAATCGCAATCTTTCAGTTATCACAAAGTAGAATAAAAATATCTTTTCATGACAATGTACTTTACAAATCTTTTTTTTTTACCACATCACTGCTTGTTGCCAGTACATCTTATAAAGATAGAGAAAAAATAAGTTTCGTTGCGTCTTTTTTTTGTGTTTATCATTTTAAAGATAATCAGATATGCAGTATAAACAGACTTAGCTTAAAGTGAATTCACGTAGATTACAAAACAAACGCACAAAATTCATTTAGATTAATAGGAACAGTTTGTAAGACACAACTGAGACAAAACATGTTTCGTTCGATATTTACCAGGATTCCATTCAGAAACGGGCTTCATACTATGTCAACAGATACTGGTATATTACGTACGCCCGATTCGGCATTCATCAACCTATTAGATTATCCTTTTGAACCGAATTATATTGATTTATCAAATCCTGGCTGTATTGGTAATGGAAAAACAAAATTACGTCTACATTATTTAGACGAAGGAAACAAGAAAAGTAGAGAAACAATTTTATTATTACATGGTGAACCAAGTTGGAGTTATTTGTATCGTCATTTTATACCATTGTTAAAAGAATATCGAATAATTGCTATGGACTTCATCGGATTTGGTAAATCAGATAAACCGATGAATAAAGTCGATTATACATACCAAAGACATGTTAACTGGATCAAGGAAGCTATTGAATATTTAAATTTAAATGATATTACACTATTTTGCCAGGTAAGCGTGAAGTAAGAATGCACACATAGATCTGAAAGATAATAATGATTCACACAACTGATAAATTACAATGCTATGAGTACTGTTCATGAGATCTACGTATTTTCTCGAATAATACTGGAAAAGACCAGCATCAATAAAATATATGTCGAGACTACGATAGAGTTTTTAAAACGTATCAATGGTGTAATTCTGCTCCAAGAAGCACAAATTTGCGCCTCGTCCTCGAGAAATATGATAAATAATCTCTGTAGTTTAACGTAAGCACGTTCATTAGCTTATACAACGACTACTAGGTAGCGGAAATGAAATCGACATCAAATGCATTGAAATAATCGATGGTTTTCAAGAATTGAGACCTAAGATGCATTCTGAACAGACCAGATAATGCTCACGATCTATACAAGTTCAGAAGAAGTGGTTTCAATATAATTATTGTTTTATTGAAATTAATATACATAGGTGTTTATGAATCTTACTTACCTGATCAGCAACAAGTCTTCAGCGGCATATCGGAAAAAAATTTTCTGGAAATATTGCACTTTCTTGATTCAAAATTTCCTTCTTCAATTTCAGTATGAAAGTTGAAGAAAAAATAGAAGACGATATCAACTTCAGATATGATTATTTCCGAAGGATACCAAAGCTGTCGCATATACTGTGAATTGCTTTAACTGGTTTTCCGCATAGTTTTCTCCAGAAATTCCAATACGATTCTAAAACAAAAATTATTTTTCATTGGAAATTTTCTTTGATGATTGTTTTCTAGTGTATTTCATTCTGTAAGGAATGAATTATCATACATCCCTGAATGACTTCTTCCTATAGATGTACATGCTCTCTTCTACTCTTCAAAATTCCAAAATCTCTATCAGCTTATCGTAGAAAATTTCACATGCCCAGAATTAAAATTTGATAAGAAAAATATTGTCAGTGAATTCTGAGCCGACTACAAGCGCAGCATTAAACAGAATAAATATGTAGATTTTGTCAGTATGGCAAAATCTCAGGCTCTTTGAGAAAACGTTTAGTCGTTTGTCGGTCATAAAAACTAGAACAACAACACAAAGATACAGCTTGGAGTGTTTCGAGTTTTTAGATATGTTCGATACGATCTCGCTTTCTCCACACAATGCTTGGTCCTAACAGGAAAAATTGAATTATTTTTATCTAATTTGTGTCTTTTTTTTACTTATAATCACACTGTATTGAGTAACTCGAGATAAACAAAATTCTTCATGATTCAACATAACCCAACCAGAATTCCTCTCTGCTTGTGTATTACGTGAAATCGCTTCTCTGTACGCCATTGCTTAACGTATTACAAAAATTCTATTAACATACACAATGTCTTAACTAATTGGTGCGGGAATCGGTGCATTGCACAATATGTTCAAGGCATGACGTTATCTCAGTTGAAAGACATTCCTGCTGTGCGACAACATGAAAGTTATGAGATAAAAAAAACCTTCGCGATATATCCCCTCAAATTCATATTTTGCCAATTTGCAGTCGTTTTCTAGCACTGTCCTGTACAGAAACAGTTTTCTGTATATAAAGGAGAAAAAGCGAAATCTAGTGCTTTTTCTATGTACTGGGAGATGAAACCCGAACGCTTAGGATTTCTGGAGTATAGTCACTAAATATTATGCTTGTTCCACATGAAAAAAATCATATAATCTTTGGCATAGGTAAATTAGACAATCATTATTTTCTATGTCTGATATAGGACTGGGGTAGTTTGATTGGTTTACAATTGGTTGGCACAAATGGAATAGATAATCGTTTTGCACGGGTGGTGGTTGGAAATGGTGGATTGCCCACAGGCGATATGAAAATGTCTGACGCTTTCTTACGATGGCAAAAATTTGCATCGAAACAAACGAAAATGGATGTTGGTTCAATAATAAAACGTTCAGTTATAAGAGAAATGAAACCAGAAGAAATTGCCGCCTATAATGCTCCATTTCCAAATGAGAAATATCAGGCGGGTGCATTGGTATTTCCCGAATTGGTACCAACAACACCTGATAATCCTTCGTCACAATATAATCGTGATGCATGGAAAAATTTGCGAATATTTGATAGACCATTTTTAACTTTATTCTCTGATTCGGATGCGATAACAGCCGGTGAGGAAAAATTGTTACAAATGTTGATACCAGGTGCTAAGAATCAAGTGCATGCTATAATCTCTCAAGCTGGCCATTTTTTACAGGAAGATAAGCCATATGAAATTGTTGAACATCTTATTAAATTTATTAACAATAATCCATTGCCTCTCTACTCGAAACGATAGATATATACATGTATCTGTTGGGGACAAACGCAAAACAAAAGATGGGAAGATACTGATTTTTTTTTCTTGTCAAACTATGAATATGTTTCAGCAAGAGGCATACTGAACTTTGCTACGAATCAGTTGCACTAGTAAATTGATGATACACTACATCGACATTTTTCTCCTTCAGCACAGATCAGATCTGATATTGTTGAAAGAAAATTCCTTAGCATATAGCTGCGAAAATGTATATACCATGCATTATGATTGAATATATGCTATATTCGAGAATACAAAGAGAAAATCACCAGAAAAACATGGAATTATGAATATGAATGAGAACATGATATTGGCTGACATCTGCACTTGATTACATGACTTCTTTTCCCATTTGAGTTATCTTATCAGGGGTGTGGATCTAAATATTGTTAGAGAACACTCACACCCATACACACACACACACACACTCTAGCTACGATTGGACCAAATGAGAACAGCTATTGATGTTTAACAATCGTGAAGAGAATATGAGCAATACCAGCGATTCCTTAAAAGTCATCAGTACACGTAATTTAATAATAATTAGCAATAATCGATACTTGAGAATAACCATAGTCTACATCTTCTATTGGGTAACTCAGATGGCAACGAAATTGAAGCATTCATAAGGCGAAAAATTGGCAATAACTTCGTGCTACATCCGTCGCTAAATTTTCAAGACAACAACAATACGTTAGTTTCAACCGTCATCGAATAGTGTGCGAAGCGTAAACTTAAATGCATAATGAAGGTGCGCTTTTCTCTTGTTTTTTTTTCATTGATATGGATATTGTATAAAATACAAGGAACTTTGAAAGAAAGCGGATGGAAGTGGTTACATTTCACTGAAGGAACTAACCTTGAAAGATGGGTGTGGGTGTGGCTATTCGTGAAGAGACAATGAACACCCACATCCACACCCAAAATCTTTGTTTTTCGTGCCATCATACAGATATATGGCTAATGATAAAGGTCGAGAAGAGAGTTTCTCTCTGTTGGATTATGTTCCATTGATAAAACTTATATCATTAGATAGATAATCAAATTCTCTATTCAGTCCACCACATCCGACACATCGCATATACTGTGAAAAGAAGATTGAACAGAAAAAAATCTTTTCTTTTCTTATCATTACGTATTCATATATAAAGATATGTACATATATATGTATTTGTAACGGTTAGCATTAAGAAGAGAATATCTCTCTATCTGTATATGATCCAGTGATAAAATGTATATCATTTGATAGAGAATTGAATTCTCTATTTAGTCCATCAGATCCGATGCATTACTCGTGTGTAGGAAAAAAACTGAATAGAAAAAAAAATATTTTTTTTTTCATATCATCGTACACATATATGGCTAATGGTAAAGGTTGAAGAGAGAGTTTCTCTCTACCTGATTATGTTCCATTAATAAAACTTATGCCATTTGATAGAGAAATCAATTCTCTATTTAGTTGACCACATCAGATACATCGTGTAAAGGAAGACAAAAAAATCAAACAAAAAAAATCTTCTTCTTTTCCTACTATCATATAGGTATTCATATAATGTTAGTCGGACATGGACAAGCGCAAAAGTAAAAAACGAACAAATAATATGTCCAAGTTCATAGTAGAAAAACAGTGTGTAATAAATTCGTACACGTTGTGTAAATCTCGAACAGTGACAGATCTGGATCCAAATCGATTTATCTCAATTCAATATATATTTATACTTACTTACTGGAGTTAAACGGAACTTTAGATTCACAAATATATATTTTTTTTATTTTGTTACTATTATCCCGAATAACTGATTTGTTTCTTCAAAGAGCAATTCTTAATCAAAATTATTTATGTACATTTTTTGCCCCCTTTCAAAGGCAATATTTATAGACTTGTAGTTATTTTTATGTGAGTGTTATGAAAAAATTCATGATTAGATGGTAAACAAATAGATGGCTGATGGTACTGAGACATATTTTCCTTCTTTAATAAGAGTTCCTTATAACTAAACATATTCGTTTCTCTCCTTATAGTTATACTTAATAATTGATTATAGCATTCATGAAAAAAATTTCACTGAAGCTATCTAGTATATGTCTTCTTTTCAACGAAAATAAATTGCCTGTAAATGTACAATTTTCTCTATTTTTCTAGCTATGTTGAATAGTTCCACTATTAGATTGAGAAACATAAGTTTTAATCGAAATGATATAGAAATTCGTAGTAAATGAAAATATAACATTTATAAACAGCTATTTTTTATTTTTTTTGTCAATATATTGAGTAGTTGAATTGACTGGTGCCAAAAGTAAATTTTAATCAAGATGAGCTTTATTAATCGAAATTAGCGACACATGTTTGTTGTAATTGGAAGTTTAATATTCAAAAGTAGAAGTCTTTTTCAGTTGATACTTCGTAAAATACTCCGTAGAAAAGTACAGAAAAATATGCATTAAAGTTGTTGTGTTTGTATAGAACTTCTTAAAGTATATCTTGATTCAATGAATTTTAAAAATGTGAAACGAAATATTGAAGTAAATAGTTTTGTATGACGTATCCAAGTCATACGCAGATTCATGTTTGAAAGATAAAGCTAGATTTGTCTACGCTTTCATGATACAAAACAATCTTTGGCAGCATTTTGGAAGTAAGAATGACGTATTCTGTTTAAGTTTCGATGAAAATAGTACATCTTCTTTTTAATAAACGGATTATAATAATCTTAGAAAAGTATATTCGAAACAGACGTCAATATATAATTAGAAATAAAAACCTATATTATAAAAATATGTTCAACGAGTGTCATAGCAGATAATATGCGAAAATCAACGAATTGTCATCGAACAACATCAGAACGACAAGATTTATCATCAACATCATCAGCATCTACCAAACTTCGTAATTAAAAAGAGAATTAATTAACATTTATTTATATCAAGGCCAAGATCTGAAACAACTCAAGATGTGACAACAGCAACTCTTCCATTACTTCTATTCAATCAATTAATGTGTCATCATCACATCAAACGAGTAAATTTTTCATAAACACCATCTTATATATCAATAAATTCAAATCATAACAGCAAAAATGATAATCATGTATTGTATCCAACAAGTCATTATTATTAGTAAGTATTACAAATCATTCATCATTATATTCTACAGTACTATGTATTCCACTCAAACTCAATATTTGTCTTGATCGACCACCTTTATCACGAGAAAAATCAATTAGATATGGGTGAAATTATTATAATTGTTCAATATAAATAATTATATCGATTATTCCTCGTGGTGTTTGAGCTTCAATTATTATATTTGGATTAGGTAGTGCTTACACAAAGTACCTGCTTATGATTCTTGATAATGAACAGTTTGTAGTTCGAAACTTCGAAAATATTAAGTATTCGATAAAAACAAAAAATCTTTTTTTCTCCACTTTTACTTATATGTAGTATTCATGAATGTTCTATATATGTAATATAAATAATTATAAACGATTTTCTTTTTGGCACTTTATTTCTTAAACATCACGTAGAGATGAATCAACATAAAAGCAAAATTCCCATCGAACAAAAGTCCGGTATATTTTGACATTATTTTGGTTATATTCAAGTTATTTTGATGATATTAGTTTGTATTTCAATGGTTGTCATTTATATGTATGAATGAATAGATAGAGATGACTAAAAACAAAGATAAATTTCTAACGAACAAAAGACAGGGGTGTTTTGACATTATTTTGGTTATATTCAAGTTATTCTGATGGATATTAGTTTGTATTTCAATGGTTGTCATTTATATGTATGAATGAATAGATAGAGATGAA